GAACACCAGGCACTGTCCTACGTGTTATGTGAACACTAACTCATTACACTGTCACAGCCACACTAGGAGGCAGGATTCCTACTATCATTTCCCTTTAAGGTAAAGGAATGGAGGCACAGAGAGGTTAGGGGACATCCCCAAGGCCACACTGTACTAAGAGGAAGAGCTGGGATCCAATCCCAGGCCACATAGCTCCTGAGACCATGCCACACACGCTCTACTCCAGGGCAACGCCGAGCACCTTGTGGCTGATGAACAAGGAGAGTATGTCCTCACAGAGGCCAGGAGAGGGTCTAAGGCGGAAGAGGGGTGGCTGAGAAGCAGCCATCCCACCGCCAAGCACCTCTGCCTCCCTTCCCGCCACCACCTCCGGAGCTCTGTGAGGACAAGGTTCCGCTCTGCTCCCAGCAGCAGGTGTGTCAGCAGCTTTGCGGTGAGAACCTTGGTCCCAGCCAGATGGGGCGACCAGGCCCACATGTCTGTTCCCAACTCAAGGTCACTGAGGCAGTTAATGGGGAAAAAGTGAACAGAACGAAGGTACCAGACATCATCCTTCTAGGCCTTGGGTCCCTCTGCCCTCCCCACAACCAGGTGGGCAGGGGAGGGGACCTGGGGGAGGGCTGGGTCTGGGGAAGAAAGCCCAGCTGAGCCATTGTGGGGACTGAGAAACCTTGGGGAAGACTGTGCCTCAGTCTCTCTCTGGCAAGGGGGAAGGATGCCTGGCTTAAGCTGCCTCCAGGAAGGAGGAACCGTGTGTCCTGAGGGACAATCAGGGATGGGAAAAACGAAGGCAGGATTGGGGAGAGGGGCCTACGCCACACCTGCCATGAGTTAGTGTGTGGCCTTGGGCAAGCCACTTGGCTCTCTGAGCCTCCGCACCCTCTTCTGTAACAGGCACATCCACTGCTGTGGGATGTCCAGAGAGCTGTGTTCTCCTGGCAGGAGCTTGGCCTTCTAGTGTTCCCCATTGCTGAGTGGGGCATGCACGGGCTTGGGAGACCCAGGTTCAAAGACCCCTCAGGCTCCCTTCTGCACCCTTCTCCCTCTTTCTGTCCCCTGCGGCCCCTTCTGTGCCCTTCGGCCCCCTTCTGGCTGTGTGACTTTGAGGCTCCTCTTTCTGAACTCAGATTTAGCATCCCAGAGCCAACGCATCATGTGTCCCTCACCGCAGCCTCGGGAGATGAGCAAAATAATACCCATTTTACAGATGTAGAAAATGACATTTGAAGACCCAGCCCTAGGCCTCTGGTAGCTCATGGTTTAAAAGGGAAGAAACAATATAACTCTAATATATGACAAATCAGGGCAATAAAGGTGACTATCAGGTAACCTCTAAAGCAGCCATAAAAGTAAGGGGCTACAGAGTGTGTGCCAGGGGTCCACAAATGGCATCTGACATAAACCTTGGGCTACGGGAAGTGTTTACCAAGTGGCAAGGAGCAGCAGGCAGAGGAGTAACAGGTGCAAAGGCCCAGCAATGGAGAGAGGATTGTCCATTCAGGGATTAGGTTGTGTGGGGCTGGGATATAATAGGGCTGAGGCCAGAGAACCTGGCAAGAGCCAGATCATGAAGGGTGAATGTCATGCAAGGAGTTTGGAGTTTATCTTGAGAAGGTAGAGGGGAGGCATTAAAAGGCTCTGCCAAGGAGTAAACTTTGATTGAAAGCCTACAGGACAGCACCGGCTCTATCAACTCAGCACTATCCAGGTTCCTTTTTGGAAAAGCAGGGCCAACAGAGAGAGCACCCAAGCTCCACCCAACTCTGGGCCTCAGGCCTCGCCTATAAAACGGGAGGCGGCCCTGCCCTCTGTCCACTGCGCACAGAGGAGGTGGGCATGGGAGTCTAAGCTCCCCGAGAAGAAAGTATTGATGGTACGGCTGCTGCCTTTTTACAAAGGGCTCAATAGTTGCATCTGATTAGCTGGGGGAACAGGTCTGCTGTCAAGTTTAGTAACTGACAGATGGCTGCCGCAAAACCAAGAGGGACCTGGGAGAGGTTATGGCAAGGACAGTGCCGGAAGTGAGAATGCCAAGGAGTAAGCTAAGGTGACTGGAGCGAGGAGGTGAGACAGCCCAGCTGTGCCTCGTCTGAGCTGCTTGGCTCTGGGGGATCACCTTCTCTCCCTGAAACTGTCTCCTTGCCTGAAACATCGAGGCAGGGGGTTATGTCCGATCACAGTGCCGCAAAAATGCGAATGGGGAAAACAGACCCCATATTTATCTGCATCATGCCTCGCAGTGTACAAAGCGGATTAGCTGCTTCACCCCCTCAGCTCCCCATGAGGAAGGAGGGGCACCTGCTGCGTGCCTGCTGGATGCCACCTATAGGACGGGGTGTTTGTGTTCATCCACCCCAGGCCAGTTCCATCACAGCCTTCAGACAGGGATTGGTTTCCTAACCTATTTCACAGTCCAGGAAGCTGTGTCACACTGCGAGGAAGTGGCAGAGCCGACATTTGACCCCAAGCCTATCTCTTGGCAAATCACCAGGTACTTCCCCAGCAGCAGGCCATCTCCCTCAAGTTATGTGACCTTAGTGGTTTTTCCTATCCCTTTGACCTCATGATCACTTTGAGACTAAAATGAGATAAATTACTTAACTTCTCTTAACTTCAATTTTCTCATACTAGTTCCTCTGACATTGAAAAACTCATATAGTGGAAATAAATTAAGTCAAATTAATAAAACTAGATAATTAAAATAAAATGTGTATTTTATTTGACATGTTCCAATGCTAGGCACATATATAGTATCATGTAGTTTATATATAGCACACCCACTAGATAGGTAAAAGTGCAACAGTGTTATGAGGAATGCGGGACACCAGGAGCTCCAATGCATTGCCTGAGGCAGCGAATCCCTGGAAAAGTGAATATGCACATGTCTATGGCCCAACAGTTACATCCATGATTAAACCCCCTAGGAAGGAATTCGTACTTGTGCACAAGGCACTTGTGTAAGCACATTTGTATCAGCATGGTTTGCAAGAGAAAACACTGCAAACAACCTAACTCTTCCTTCAGGAGCACAGACAGGTCAGTTGAGGTGCAGACAGAGTGGAGTAGACTGCATGGTGAAACAGTGAACAGCTCTCTTCACTGACATGGATCCTGGGTGAAAACCAGTATTGGCACACATAGGACCGTACCATTTTTATAAAGCTCAAAACCATGCAAGACTAACACCACATTGTTTAGGAATGCTTGCATGCTTAGTAAAACTGTTAAAAAAAGACAAATACAAAATTCAAGCTGATGGTTATTTGTGTGAGGGGGAGGGCAGGAAGGAGGACAAAGGACTTAAAGGAATTGATAATCTGCTTCTTACGTTGGGCATTCACTAAATTATTACTTATATGTTACTTATTGAACATATAAGTCATATATATATAACATGTATATAAGTAATATATATTTATATAGCTGACTAATTAAATGTATTTTATATAGATGAAATATTTGATAACAAATAAAATGCAATTATAAAGAGATATATTTGAGAAGAGACATTCTATCTTATTTATCTCTGGTTGTCTGACACCAAGCATGCTTCCTTGCTCATGATAGGTATTTCAAAAGTTGTATGTTCAGTGAATACTTGAGTGAATGAGTGAATAGAAAAATTTTAGTCCTTAATTTCCTAGTTCACTGCCTGCCCTTCCATCAACGTGCACTTTGGCCTGGACCAGATGTGTTATTGTTATAAACCACTGGAAACAAATAAAACACAGCTAGAGAGTGTAGGTGTCCCTGTATGGCTCATTGTCAACACAGCACATATTAGAGAACTTCATTCGGTCCCCCTGTTCATTTATGCATCCATCCACTCATTCATCCAGTCATGCATACATACATGTGGTAAATATTTATTGAAAATAAATCCTAGGAAAGATCAAGTGTAATCTCTTTAGAAGTGAAGTGAATTCCCATCCAAGATAATGATTCTGTGTGTTACCACACTGTCCCAGATACCATCACAGTGCCCCAGTGGCGTGAAGGGGGCAATCACAGGATACCCATGGGGTCCTGCTACTCACCTTGGCACACAAAGGAAGAGGGTGTTTCCCCTGGGTGGACTCGACCCGTGATGAATACCACCTTCTGCTCTGCCCCTTCCCGAAGATTGTCTGGAAGATAAAATAAGAGAGGGCTGCTAAGGAAGGCAAGGAAAGCTGAGACTAGGAGAAGGAGAAAGCAGGAAATGGTCTGGATGCTTTACATTTCTCTCTTAAATCATCCAAGCATGTCAAACTCGCCGTCAGTGGGCCACATGCCTCATTTATTTCGCCTGTGTTAGCCTTTGAGTTTGACATGCTTGGGTTAGAGCCATTAAGGCCCAGCCATTGCTGGCTAATTTAATTATGTCCCTGGCTACTCAATATTAAAAGACTATATCCCATTCCTTGATGCAACTGATTATATTAATATTAAAGTCATGTAAAGAGGCCATATGAGTGACTAAATCCCAGATCCACTGACTAGGCAAGTTGTATATCCATTCTGAGTTTTAATTTGCTAATCTATCAATGTGGATAATAATATCTACTCCATAGGGTT